ATGTAACGACCATATTAACTAGAAAAGGTATCTCAACGCTTCTATACTAGTTCTCAATTTTTACTACATGGTCTAAACAATTAATTAGTCTGCCTCTCAATGTAACTATCGCTCAAAAAATCAATGGATTAGTAGCCAATTAATCTAATTATTAAAATTTAGACAAAATTCTTGTTCAAATTAATTTCCAACAAAGAGTTTGAGAAGAAAAAACAAATAAATTCTTTTTACAATTGAACCATTTTCTCATGTTATTTTAATTATCCGTCTTTTAATATTTGCAATTAAGACATCTTCATTCCAAATTCTTTATAGTTGACCCGCGGCAAGTTTCAAAAGTTTGCAATTTCGTTCCCGAACTTTTCAATTGTCGATTTCACTACCGGAATTTATGAATTTTTACCGAGTGCTCCATTAATACTTTTAATTGATTTCTTGCAATCCGATTAATTTTCAATGCTTCAAATCAACTCCAATTAAACTCTAAATAGCATCTTTTTACCTTAACTATATTCGAGCTGGGATTTTTCTACCATGAACATAATTTACACAAATTAAGCAAATATTCGCTCAATTTACATATAAAGAAATGAGAATAAAAGTCCGAATAAGTGCACTTATCAATAAGTCACAACATACCTTCAATGTTTCTTCTAATTACTGCAATGTCTATCAACAACTTGCACATATTTGAACAACGAATATCGTAAATCATTGCTTCTATGGCTTCCATAGATAACCCTGTTGCTTGGGAAGTTCATTTAGCTTGATAATTAATATCGATAACCCACTAGCGGAACATTTTTTTAGTATTATGTGGAGGACATAACAACTTGTTGCTTTCTTACCAGATTAAAATCCTTAAAATGAACTCATGATCATGTGAACTTGAATGTTAAAGTTTGATAAATGTTCACTTTTATGACCTCTCGTTGAATTTATTTTGCTCACTCATACATGTAGATATAGTTTTAAATCGAGGTGCAAAGTGCAAACCCTCATTCCGAGTTCAATTTTAATCATATCAAAAAGGGTAGAACAACTCAACTCTTTTGGAGAGTTGGTGTTTGCGTCTCGATCATACTAGTTTGACACTTTGATTGTCCCATATGCACAAGAACTTTATTTTCAATGTTGGAGCTCCATTTTTTCATAAAATAATTTTACACGTAAATCCAAAATTCATTCATACATTCTAACCATACATTCTCCTGGGGAAAAAATATTCCAAAACTTATTTTTTTCCAAACAATGGGGGGCTCAAACAAGGAATTAGGTTAAACTACGGTTTAATGTGAGATCTTTCTTGTAGGGAACCAGGAGTTTGTGGGTATATTCACTAAAAAATCTTCAATTTATATCCTCCAAATTTACTTAATTAAAAGATAATTTCATTTAGTTCCAATTAAATTTTGTTTTAACTCTTAATCCAACATTAATGAGCAATTAATAATCGCTTTTGTCTAATTGTACACGTGTCATAAGTATGGAGTTGGAATTACCCTTTGCAAAGGGATATTCCAAGAATATTATTTTATTCTGAAATTTCTAATTCTATTTCACATTATTATCTATAATATATTAAATATCGCATGGAGTGATAATCATTTTCTGGACGATTTTAGCCATATTACAATTTAATTATTTCAATAGTACCTTACTTTTCGTTTTTCAATATATATTTAATAGAATATTAATTATTAAACATGCACGCAAATAAATAATTGAATTGTACGAGAACAATCAAATTGATTTATGAACACTGAATTTAATTAATTTGAATAAATTAATATAGAAAAAGAAAAATGTATATACGTTTAAACAAATGGGGTGTAAGTGAAATAACGTGAAATTTAATTAATTTGAATTAATAGATATACAAAAATAATAATTTATATAAATTTAAACAAATGGGTGTATATGAACCAACATGGAATTTAATTAATTTGAATAAATGAATATAGAAAAAGAATAGTTTATATACATTTAAAAAAATGGCGTTATATCATAATTTAAATGAATAATATTAAAATTAAATAAGTGTGCATGAACTTGAATAATTTATCTACTTCTATAATAATTGAATATCTCTCAAAATATATGATTTTTAATAATTTATATACTCTAGAATAATTTATGATAAAATCAATAATCTTGAAGATAAATACGTGTTCATGAATTTGAATAATTTATTTACTCATAGAATAATTGAATAGCTCTCGAAACATGTGTATATGAACTTGATGACTTAATGTTATATTTTATATATCCATAAATAAACGTTAATTAGTATACATGCACATACATAAATAATTGAATTGTAGTATTTCTGGTGTAATTGAATAGCCCCCAAAATATAGAAAGTGTTCGTGCATGAATTTGTATATATATATATTAATGTTAATTATTATCATATATGTAAATAAATAATTGAATTGTATAAATAGTTCATTTCACATAAACAGTTTTTTTAACTATTTTTTGTATTCACTGATTTTCAAATATCATTCTTACAGTGTTTATAGAGTATTTCAAAATAACATACAAGTGTACAACGCACGCTTAGCTTTGACTAGTAGTATCAAAAGTTCCATTTGTTGATTCATCATAAAATAATAGATTATAATACTATGTTTAATAATCTTATTTAATAACTTAAACATGAAAGAAAAGAGATTCTATAAATGTTTTTAAAGAATTTATTTCGACTCAAAAATTTTGATATGATCTCCGCAATTTAGCAATTTAACTTGTAAATTGCAGATAATATATCTGAACAAAAATATTTGTATAAATGTATAGAAAAAGACAAAATTCAAATCTTTTCAAATTTATAAGCAACATACTCAGCCCTTGGCTCCATAAGAAAATGTATTTTGAAATAGTGATTTTTTGGAGAATGTGTTGTTAAAAGATAAAGAAAACTTATGAATTTACATATAATATTATTTTATGAATGAACGCGCTGTCGAAAATGAGTTTTGAAAAAATGTATTTTAAAAAAAAAATAGAGCCCAAACAAGAGCTTGATAAACAATTATATATTTCATTTGAACAAAAATATTTGTATAATTATAAAAAAAAAGGAACAAAACTCAATTATTAACATTGGGCTTAATATATGATGATATCCGTACCCTTCTAGCAACTTTAGCTTGCCAAACATTCTCTTAAACTACCTTAATTTTGTGAAACAAATCATTCGAAATGAATTTTTATTATTTTCATTGAAAACTACTTTTTTCATTTTAGCGTCAATGGTTTTTTCCATAGGAAGTAATTAGGTAATCTCTCGCCATTCTAAGGCAAATTGTCCTAAAATAGAGGAGTGTCTATTTAGTCGATTATAAGTAGAGTTTTTATGCAAGTTACAATCCAAATAGAATAAATTCTACTTTTTTTCTTTTTTTTTTCAAGGACGAATCGGAGCGACAAATGGCTAAATCTTAGCGGATCGTGGCATCGAGGCCACTCTGCCTTTACAATATTCCATTACGTATTTAAGTCGTCTACAAAGGATTCTACCCACCGCTCTTCTTCTTCAAGGCGGCCAACGCAGCACGTTCGTTGGGAGGAATACATTCTACTTAAATAAGTAGGACAGTCATAAAGATATCTAGATTAGACCAAACAGTCATTTATAATAATATCTCACTTTACAGCGCTACCAATTTTTTTGATATTTAAATTAATATTATATTCAGATAGTCTTATTGAAAATAATAAACGTAATATGTTTATTTTTAGATTTTATATGTGCTTATACATATTTATGTGGGTTAAAATGTTTGGTTCGACTCAATATGTTTGAGAGTCAAGTCAAACCTAAGCTATTCTTGATCCTTATTGTTATCATACTTTTCTAAAAAAAAAAATCAAATTTTGTTGAATCTTTGTATTTTGATTAGGTCAACTTGACACATTATAATACACGTCTTGATATTTCAATCCATTGTAATCTAATTTGACCAAGATATGAGCAGTCGTTGCAAATTTAACAATGTCCATTACAAGACAAACACGAGACAAGAAAAGGTACTTATTGTATTGTACTTCAATGCAGACAACTCAACTTGCTTAGCTTGTGCTAGTAATTCAATTTTTTGGAAAATTAAAATCGAAGGAAACCTAACATCCTGTTTGGACTCCATATAACCAAAATGCATTTTTCTATCTTTTTGTAATCAAACATTCTTCAAAAAATCATTATTCCAAATTATATTTCTTCCTAAAAACACATTTTAGCCCTCGTTTGAGCTCATTTTTTTGGCCAAAATGCACTTTGGCAGTGTTTAGTTAGAAAACTTGTGATTAAAAAGTAAGAAAAATTTTGAGTTTACGAGTAAAATTATTTTATTAAAAAAAGCGTATTAAAAATAATTTTTTAAAAAAATGGGGGCCCCATACAGGGGCTAAATAAATGAGTCATGCTTGATGTACACTCTTAGGTGTACATTATGCATGACATTCCTATCACAAAGGCGGGGGTCCGTAATTTAAAAAATCATTTGCTCCACACTCTTTTAGGAGAGGAGTATCAAAATTAATGTACATGTTTGTTGGTCGGGGTTTACTAACAAAGAGGGGTCCAAAGGCGTGAAGGTAGTGAGAAGCCAGCAGACGTTGAGAATTCAAACAAAGAAACGTTCCAAAAATCAATTAACAAAACAGACAATTTCTCACAATAAAAACGCCCCAAGAAGAAGAAACTTATGGCATCCTCCCCACCGTTACACCTCCCTCCTCAAGTTTTTACTTCTCTTACGATTTATACGCAGTAATTGAGCAAAAATTAGTGGGTTCTTCATTTTTTTATTAAATCTTTCTTTTTGGGAAAAGAAATTTGTCCGATTGTAGTGAAATTTGATCTGTGGTCGTGAAAGAATGATGGACGAGAGTCGATTGTGTCAGTGGAGCGTAATTAGATCTATATTAGCCATCGTTCAATGGTGGGGTTTCAACGTTACTGTTATTATCATGAACAAATGGATTTTTCAGGTTTGTATGGAACCATAAACATTAAGAAAAACTGATTTACTGGTGTAATTGTGTGTGTGTTTGTAAGTACTCATTTATTGTTGTTTCTTATGGTGACAAAATTTCCGGTGAATTGTTTTTTCATTTGATCTTAATGGTTATTTTGAAAAAAAAAAAAACTGTATTTTATTGGTTCTTAGGTTGAATTAAGGTTCTTTAACTGTGATTACTGTTTCTGGAATTCTGAGAAATTCGAATCATGGGATGTTGGTATTAAACCATTGTTGGAATTCAGTATACCACTTGTTGGCAATTAGGATTGGTTTCTTTACAGATGTGTACATAATTCAACGAATGGGCTCTCCTTGTGAGTTTATTCTTTCATTGTTAATTTTTTTGTTTGATGCTTGAAATTAAATCTATAGACGCTTCTATTTTTTCTTGCCACACTCGTGTGGCGAGGACTCATTAGTGCACATGAAAAGTGGTCTATTCGAGTTCGATTGGAATATGAAGAACTTCTTTTGGAATGAACTTTTTTGTATACGGTATTTTCCTATGAAATGAGTTGTCAGAGACGGGCAAATTTTCTTTATTCACATGTTCAGCATTTTCTTGGACTGATATATTTCATTGTAAGTGTATTGTGGTCATGCATTTTTTTGTATCTGCTTACTTTTGTTTAACTGAATTTTAACTTAGGTGATCATTCCAACCATATGCTTGTATTTTTTTTTTTTAATTGTTCTTATTTGTTCTCAAAAGTCAGTTACTATCTTTGATAATAGTGTCAAAAATTCTAGTCAATAATGTTTTCGATATTCTTATGCATTGATTATCTTGCCTTGTGATAATCATCATTGCTTATGAAGTGTCTCCTTTATCCGTCTTAACAGAAACTGGATTTCAAGTTTCCTTTATCTGTGTCATGTATACACTTCATATGCTCAGCAATTGGTGCATACCTGGTAATTAAAGTGCTGAAACTCAAGCCACTTATTCCAGTCAACCCTGAAGATCGCTGGAGGAGGATCTTTCCCATGTCATTTGTTTTTTGTATCAACATAGTTCTGGGGAACGTGAGCTTGCGTTATATTCCTGTTTCTTTTATGCAAACTATAAAGTCGTTCACACCGGCAACAACAGGTGAGTTTTGAGTAAAAGTATATCCCAAGTGTTAGAAGCTTTTGTAATCAGTAGCTAGAAATCAAAGATTCAGATCTGAACACAGATTAAGACTTTTTGTGTGTGTAAATTACATCTTGAAAAAAATGCCGCACTCGATTATGATGCTTTTGAAACAGTTTTCTTGCAGTGGCTAGTCTGGAGAAAGCACTTTGATTCCCGAATTTGGGCTTCTTTAATTCCCATTGTTGGAGGGATTCTACTAACTTCAATCACCGAGCTCAGTTTTAATATGTTTGGCTTTTGTGCTGCTTTATTTGGCTGCCTTGCTACTTCTACAAAGACAATCCTTGCAGAGTCTCTATTACATGGTTACAAATTTGACAGGTATAATCCCTTCTTCTCCACACACTCCACACGTAAATTTCTACCCAGCAAAGAGGATTAACAAATGGGTAGTTTTGTCCAGATTGATTAATCACGTCAATTTACAGGCCTGCGGTCTCATTCCATTTCTGCAGAAGCAATTTAGGATCTTAATCTGTATAATGGAATATGGAATATAATATTGATATCTTCTTTGGAAAAATTAAATCTTCATAACAAAGAACACATCAAAACTCTTAGCACAATCTTGTCGATCATTTTAAGAGCATCTCCAAGAGACATTTTATTTATAGAGAGTATATTATGCATAATATAGAGTATCTTTAAGTTTAGAAAGTAAAATTTTTTATACACTCCAATGATACTCTTTATTAAAGCTCTTCAAATTCTTTTAAAGAAATATTTATTGATTTCTCTTCATCTTTATTTAACATATTTTTTATATGTAAATGACAAAATTTAAATAAGATTTCTATAATTTAAGAAATAGAATATTGAAATCTGCAACTTATCAAATGCAATCATTATAAAATAAGAATCGAGGTAGAGCCAAATCCACTCTTTATTTTTAAAAGTCAGAATAGGGATTCTTGGAGCTTATTTTTAAGCATTGACTCTCTAAAATAAAGAACGACTTGTGTTTGAAGAATTTCTTGAAGACGCTTTACTTTGGACTAATGGTCTTCAAGTTTCATCCATTAATTTAAGTTTAATCAATGTCATTTAATCACCATGCTTCAACACTAACTTTCAGTTTTCAGGAATTCTCAATTTTTTTTTTACTTTATGGAAATCAATTGGGCCCTGTTTGTCTCCCATTATTCCAAAACATTGTTTCCTACAGTAAGATTCTCCACCACACATTCACCCAATAAAATATTCTACACACAAACCAATACATTTACTTTAATTTTCAACCACTCATTCTTCAAAAAATATTATTCATTAATCTCTTTTTCTCCCAATTTAGTAAAGTTACTTTAAATTTCAACCACACATTCTCCAAAAAATACTATTCATTACTCCATTTCTTCTACAATAATGGGAGACAAACACACAATTAATGTTTTCAACACTATTCATTCAACAAAATGGTAAAGAATTTCGTATTATAGATTGTTGTGGAGGATGTTCATTTAATCTAGCTGCATTTTCTTCTTTAATGCTCTCGATATCCTGTATGCCGAAGATGTCATTATAGTTTCTTTATGACTTAGACGTGGATTTCTTATTTGTTATAATGACTAATGATTATAGCTTCTTTTTCATGCTTACTGCAGCATAAATACAGTCTATTATATGGCACCTTTTGCGACTATGATCTTGGCCGTGCCAGCATTGCTATTGGAAGGATCGGGTGTTATTGAATGGTTTCACACATGCCCCTCACTGTTCTCGTCCCTTGTCATTATTTTCGGGTCTGGAGTCTTAGCGTTTTGCTTGAACTTCTCCATCTTTTACGTCATTCACTCTACAACTGCTGTCACCTTTAACGTTGCAGGAAATCTTAAGGTGAGTGCCTAGTTGCTACCTAATTCATTTTCATTTATGTCCCATATGTTATTTATATTGGAAATAGAGTGTGTAGATGAATTAAATTTTGGCGAAGGTTACAGACATCATCTACTAATCTGTTGAAATTGAATTGATTTTCGTGAATAAGCACTTGTAAAACTTTCACTTGCGTTAATTTTCAATAGCCGGATCATCAACTTGTATATTGGAAGTGAAAAATGTCAATGAAACACCTTTTATATTCGCTCTTTTAACATCTATATAAATCTCGTTCCTTATTTACGTGGGTGCATTGTGTTTTCAAAACCTTCCTGTCGAAACCGGTTTCTCCATATACGAAGTCATGCTGTTAATTTGAAGCTTATGGATTTATCTTATTTCAGGTTGCTGTTGCTGTTACATGTTCATGGCTGATCTTTCGAAACCCGATATCATCTTTGAATGCTATTGGATGTGCTATAACGCTCGTTGGCTGTACATTTTATGGCTACGTGAGGCACAAGCTCTCGCAACAATCACTGGGAACACCTTTAGCACCTCGAACTCCTAGGGGTAAGATGGAGTTGATTCCTTTAGTAAATGAAAAATTAGACGATAAAGTTTAAAAAGTCTTGGTCTCGCATGAGGTTGGCTTGCAGGGAAGATGATTATAGCTTATTCATATAGAGCAAAAAAGAGTTTATGTTCACTGTTTTGTAATCACCAGTTAGGTTAAATTGAAAAATCTACCCATTTTTCTTCCTTAACCCCACCCCAATCCAATACAGGCATATACTAATACTACAGTCTCCTTTAACCTTCTGGCATGTTTGGGAGGTAGAATTGAATAGTCATGGACACTATTACACAAGAAAAAGTTCAAATTTTGTTTATTATACCTTCTAGTTTCTGTTTAACACAATTTATTCTTGTTTGGAAAATTTCAAACATGAGGTTTTGAATCGAAGGGGAGAAAATGAAAAGAAAAAAAAAAAGGGCTTTCGCGATTCAAGTTAGCTCATTCAATCTGCATTTTTTTAGTTGAATTTGGACCCTCAGTATTTTTTCATGAAGGTAGACAAGTAGGCATGCTTCGTATGGCTGACCCATGTCGGGCTCATCTTTAAGAACTCACGGCCATGTGCCTGTTTTAAAATTTTCACAAGGAAGCAACATCTAAAGATTCTAAACTACAATAATTTGAAAAACTGTGCTTGCCAAAATCATGGGTCGAGGTCGTGCTTGGGCTTAGGCAGCTAAAAGTGGGTCGGAACTCGGAATAGACATGACATGTTACCTCGAAAAATGAGTAAAACCAGTACGTACACGAGCCTGTAGTCCACACTGCAAGGCTCTCCTTGAGCACACAGCCCGACCCAGTCTGTCACACTTTAACACAAGTAATAAAAAGAGAAGAAAATGAAGGTAGAGTGACGAATTGAGCAATGGAGAGGGGTTATTCAGGTCCAAGACAAGGAGACTTGTACCTTTTTCACTTGCTCTTCGTATGAACTTTGAATGCTTTAAAAAGGTGCAAATTTGACATGTTTGGTCACCATTAAAATTATAATTCATTTTTTTCACTATTCTTATCGATCATATATCTCCAATAAAATAATATTATACGTAATTCCAAAAAAAATTCTTCTTTTTTAACCACATATTTTTCAGAAAAACACTATTCCAATCATTAAACTTTTAAATGATGGGGGCCAAACGGTGGCTATATATTGATAAGAGGAGGTACAGGTATTTTTAAACTTTTGGACACAACTAGGGTATTTGTAAAATTCATACAAATAAATAAATATAAAGAAATAATGCTTAAAAATATTTTAATGCAAGTGAACACAAATTTTGAGTTGGGCTTTTGGAATTTCCGAGTTAGCACATGGACTTAAGTGTTCAAGAGTTTGGCTTGGCTGAAGAGTAATAATAATAATAATAATAAAGAACAAGAAAAGTCAACACTGACTTTTTTCGTCATGTTTGGTTTAGATAAAAATTAGACCTAGAAGTTGAAGAAATGTGTAATTGAAAAATTGATAAAAATTATGAATCTCTTGATGCTACGAGTCTTCTCGTCTTTGGATCCTCAAGTTTTTGAAATGTTCCAAATTATATTTGAGCATCCAAATCTAAGTCGACAAAAACATATTTGAACAAGGTTCTAATAACCAAATGTGTCTGAAGAAGAAGAGCAAAGCAAATGAGGCATGTCTAAAAATAAACCAACCATTTGGTCTACTACGAAAAACATCATCAAATTTCAAAGTAGCTCAATCTAATTCAAAAAATTCACCTAATTGAGCACAAAATGTATGGTTAAAAACTATTATTCTATAAAATCCAGTTGGAGCAATTAAATATGAGGTTAAACATATGTATTAATATCAATTAAAAATTAAAAGATTATCATGTGTTAAAAGATATTAAAAAAAAAACACTTCTATATTATCAAAATCATAAGGTCTAAGCAATTGTGTTATACAACACGATATGAAGTATTGATTACAAAATTTATAACAAGAAGATGAACACATACAAAAATTTAATTTGATAGAGGAATTTAAAATTTTATTCAACTATAATAGGAAACAAAAATTGTGTTTCTCACAATTATTCTAACTTGTGTAATAAACGAGGATATATGCATGAATAACCTAAAAATAAAGCCATATTTCCAAAATGACCTTTGACTTTTCTTAAAAATTGAAACTACCCAAAATACCCCAAGTATAATAGTTATCTACAATAACCAAGAAATGGAAAGAATACAATTAAGTTCTAAAGAATTAGATTACCATAAGATGACCTACAGAAAACCAAAATCTAAAAGAGGATCACACAAGATTAAGAAAATTGCAAAAGATAAAAAAGAAATTGAATTTAAAAATGAATTTGATAAAATTGGATATCAAGAACAATTAATTGCATCACAAAAAATAT